TTTAATTTTTACCTGCTGATTGTGCTGGGTTTGATTCCGGCCGCTTTTCCTGCGTGGTTGGGACACGGGGAAATTCCAGAGCTGGGGAAGGGACACAGAGAAAATTCCAGAACTGGGAAAAGGACATGGAGAAAGTTCCAGAACCAGGGAAGGGACACTGAGAAAATTCCAGAGCCGGGGAAGGGACGGGGGAAAAATTCCAGGACAGGGAACACGGGGAAATTCCAGAACAGGAAGGGAGACGGGGAATTTCCAGAGCTGGGGAAAGGACACTGAGAAAATTCCAGAACCGGGGAAGGGACACGGGGAAAATTCCAGAACTGGGGAAGGGACACGGGGAAAATTCCAGAACTGGGGAAGGGACACGGGGAAAATTCCAGAACTGGGGATGGGACACGGGGAAAATTCCAGAACTGGAGAAGGAACATGGAGAAAATTCCAGAACCAGGGAAGGGACATGGGGAAAATTCCAGAACTGGGAAAAGGACACACAGAAACTTCCAGAACGGGGGAAGGGACACGGAGAAAATTCCAGAACTGGAGAAGGAACAGGGAGAAAATTCCAGAACCAGGGAAAGGACACAAATTTCCAGAACCGGAGAAGCTTCCAGAAATGGGGAAGGGAGACGGGGAATTTCCAGAACGGGGAAACTTCCAGAACCAGGGAAAGGACACGGAGAAACTTCCAGAACAGGGGAAGGGACAGAACGACCCCGCGGGGACAGAACGACCCCGGGGGAACAGAAAAAGCCCCGCGGGGCCAGGGCCGGGCCGGGCCGGGTTTTTTCCCTTCATCTGCCGCCGGAGAGCGGCTCCGTCAGCTCCGGCATCGCCTCCGCATCCTCCGCAGCGAGCCGCGCTCGGCCGGGGAGGGGCGGAGCAGGGGAGGCGCTGCCCAGCAGCCCCGCCCGGAGCCCCGAGCCCCGCCCGGAGCCCCGGAGCTTCTCCCGGAGCCCCGAGCCCCGCCCGGAGCCCCGGAGCCTCTCCCGGAACCCCTCCCGGAGCCCCGGAGCCTCTCCCGGAGCCCCTCCCGGAGCCCCGGAGCCTCTCCCGGAGCCCCGGAGCCTCTCCCGGAGCCCCGGATCCTCTCCCGGAGCCCCGGATCCTCTCCCGGAGCCTCTCCCGGAGCCTTTCCCGGAGCCCCTCCCGGAGCCCCGGATCCTCTCTCGGAGCCTCTCCCGGAGCCTCTCCCGGAACTCCTCCCGGAGCCCCGCAGCCTCTCCCGGAGCCTCTCCCGGGGGCCCGGATCCTCTCCCGGAGCCCCGGAGCTTCTCCCGGATCCTCTCCCGGAGCCCCGGAGCTTCTCCCGGATCCTCTCCCGGAGCCCCGGAGCCTCTCCCGGATCCCCTCCCGGGGGCCCGGATCCTCTCCCGGAGCCCCGCAGCCTCTCCCGGAGCCCCGGATCCTCTCCCGGATCCTCTCCCGGAGCCCCGCAGCCCCGCAGCCCCTGCCCCGCCGCCTCCTCCCTCCTCCCTCCCTCCTGGCCATGCTGGACATTTTCATCCTGATGTTTTTCGCCATCCTGGGCCTGGTGCTGCTGTCCTACATCATCTACATGCTCTGAGGAGGAGGATGCGCCCGGTGAGCGCCCCGGCCCTTCCCCGCTGGGAATTTCGGGCCAGGACCGGGGGGCGGCTTGGGGGTCGCTGCTGTTGCTGCCGGGTTTTCCCCGCCGGTTTTATCCGCGCTCGGGAAAGCGGCTCCGGTTCCTG